ATGCAAATAAAAGTAACTGTAGATATCTTATTTTTTCCGAGATTTTTTTTAAGACTAAAAATGGGCTTTAAATTGTGGATTGAGTCTGATTAGAAAGCTTCGGGCCCAATAGAAAAACTTTAATTTGATTTAATTTTGTTTTTGTTTAATTTTACTTGTTTTAGAAAGTAAAAAAAAAAGTCAAAAGTTTTCAAAAAAAAGAAGGAAATCAAAAAATAAAAAACGAAAGATTTTGATTTAATATTTGATTATGGATGAATTAAATAAAATCATACACTTAATCGCAGAATAAAATCATGATCCTTTTCAAAAATAAAGAGATTTAATCTCCATAAAATATAGAAATCACATAGACACATTAAAAAGAAAATCATAAGGATTGGAGGTTAGCTAGATTTTTAGGGTTCTAGGTGCTTTTTAAAATTGGTTTAAGGTTTTAACATTCGAGGGGATTGGACAAAGAAATCACATGGGAAAAAAATTGAGTCTTGATTTGGTTGTTTCTAGAATTGGAAATTTCTAGATTTTTTATTTTCAAGGTTTTTTGGTTTTAACTTTTTTGGGATTGTTTTGGATTTTTTTTTTTTTGGTTTTTAGAATCAGGTTGGAGTTTCTGGGGATTTGTTTAATTTTGAACTTCTATTTGTAAATTCAAAGTTTCTTGAAAATTTTGAGGTTTTGTTGAATTTTATTTTCTAGAAAATTTTTGGGGATTTCTGAGGTTTTTTTTAAAGGTTTAAATTTCTAGGCTTCTATTGAACTTTCCATTGCAATTTCAAAGTTTCCCGATGGTTTTCACGATGGTTAAAGGTGTTTACGGTAACCAGTTTATAGAAATTAAGAACTTTTTAGGAAGGGTTAAACTTTTTGGTGGTCGGTTGAATTTTCCTACTTCGAAATCTAGATTTGTGGTTGAAATCTAGTGTTGTTGAATTTTTCGGCAAGGCTTCTAGAGAGAGGATAAAGAAAATTCAACTTAAGAGAAAGAAAAAAAAGTCTGTTCTAAAAAAAGATAAGGTTTTTTTTAGGCTTTTATACCCATAGAAAATGATATCGTTTTACAACTGCTGACTTATAGGGATCCACGTGTTGGCTCGATAACTATTGGAGAATTTTTCGTGGATTTAAAAAGTTTTTTATGAATTTTATTAAACTATTAAAGAATTTCATAATCATTTTTTTTTGTAAAAAGTAACATAATAATTTTTATAAAATTCTACTAACATATTGAAGTATAATGTTTGAAAAAAAAAATCTTATCAACATATTGGAAGGTATTTCTGAAAATAAATTATTTTTATAAGTAAAAGTTTTTTACAAGAAAATCAAATGAATTCAATAATGAAGCCTCTTTAAAACGTTACGAATAATCTTCTTAAATACTCTTGAAGTAAAAAAATATTCTTAAATTATTACCAACATATTACAGTAGTTTAAGAAAAATTTTCAATATTAAATTATTTGGTAAATTATAAATATGTTTTAAGACTTGAATAATTTGAAATCAAATTGATACCATTTTTTGAATGGACATTATGAGGGTATTATAACTTTTCTCATGTGTAACAGTACTTTAAATCTAAATCTAGTTTCATAAATTAAAATCTACATTTTAAAGATATCTAAATTAAGTTTGAAATCTCTCTTTAAAATAAGATAAATTCAGCTAAGTAACCAATCACACTTAAACAAAAAATATTGATAACAACTCCTAAAATCTATGTCTAATGATAGATCCATAGATCTATACGTTATGATAAGTTATAAATTATAACATAATAGAATAAAAAAGAAATGAAAGAGATAAATCCAAATAAGTTTCTTAGGCTTTAACCCAATATCCACCAAGTCAAAGACAAGCCAATTTTGCTACGTTAACCTTTATAGATCAATTGCTAATTAATGAGCCCAAGGTAGGATTGGCTCATTCAAATGAACTGGGCTAGGTTGAAAATAGGTTGGGTCAATTAATCCGTTTTTTTTTTTTTTTAATCTTTTTTAAAAAAACAAAAAAACAAAGTCTTTTTTAACTTTTCCACTTTTTTCTTTCTTTTTTTTTTCTCTTTCCCTTTTTTTCTTTTTTTTCCTTTATTTTCTTCTTCCTTTATCCCAAACACTGACCAAACCCCCTTCTTTTTTATTTTTTTTTTTACAGCTAAGATTCTTTCATTCATTCTTTTTTTATCTTTTATTTTTTCTTTTATTTTTCCTTTTTTTTCTCTTTTTTATCATTGAACCTAGCGCCGCCAAACCAAGACGTTGCCCCTCTTTCATGACCCTTATTCTCCTTTCTCCTCTTCCATTGTTTTTGATCTCCAAAAGCCCATTGCCAATCGTTGTTCTCTTTACATTGTCACTATCTATTGCTACCATTAACAATGGTTTTGACCCCCTCTTTCTTTTTTATTTTCCCTTCAATTTATTATCCCTTAAAAAAAACCACACTATCCAAATCATCTTCAATCCAAATTTAAGTAAATAGTGCCTTTCTTTTTTTTTATTCTAGTTTTTTGATGGGTTCCTTGATAGAGGACTCTGGTTTTTTTATTTATTTTTTTATTAGCCTGTGATTGTTGATGGTAATGAGGATCTTAAGGTTGTAGGTGTTTCGACTATGGGTTAAAAAGAGGGCTTTTGATGGCTTTTTGTAATGGCGGGTCTCAGCTAGGTTATTTGTTAATGGTGGCCAAATGGTAAGGTTGGTTTGGTGGCAACAATATAATGATGGCTTTGTCAACTAGGGTGGGCTTTGATTATGAAGAAGCTGTTGTTGGTTATGAGGTCTGATCAGGTTGAGGGTCCTATTGATAGGAAGTTATGTAAGAGAAGAAGGTGGAATGTTAAAGTTGCTGTTATGGTAGTTGTATTAATGGTCATAGGGGTTGATGGTGGAAACTATGCTATAAAAAAGTCTATGTGTGTCATAGATAGTTGCGATTGAGGTTGTATATGATTTGGCTTTAGCTTTCTTGAACAAAATGGAGAGTTAGGATTTTCTTCTTATCTTTTTCAGTTGTGAATCCCCATTTTCTCTGTGAAATTGGCTTCATTTTATCCAGTTTTGGGATCATTGGAAGAACTTGGGAAAAAAATAATGTGTTGAGCAGAAAAAGATAACTTGTTAGCTCAAATTTAGCTAGCAAAGTGGCTGTAGGCTAGGTTTTACAGTGTATAAGGTGGTTGGCAAACTCTGTGCTTCATTTTTGTATTTTGAATTTAGCTATTTTTATATTATTTATTTAATTTATCAAAATTATGAGTGAAATTAGACTTTAAAATTGAATTTAAGCCTTTAAAAAGATGAACTTGGATTTTTATAAGGGCTTCAAGCCTAATTGATCCAAAATTAAATAGGTTGGATTTTGGCCCACGTAAAATTATCCCAAAATATTTAATTCGAAGCAAAACTCAAATGAGCCTAATCAAATTAATATGTTTGAATTAGTCCAAATTAGTACATTGAATCAAGATCAAAATTAAAATTAAACACAATCAAATTATCACGAATAAAATTAAGTGTTTACATCAACGTGTTACAATACTTTTTATTGGTTTTACACCAATTAATACTTATTTTACGTTTTTTCTTGTTGTTATACCTTATTTGATTTTCAAATTTTTAACTATTTTCCTTATATATTTGAAAAATAATAATTAGTTAAAATTTTACGTTGTCAACATAATTATTTATATTTTAATAATATTTTCTCACAATTACTGTTATTTTTTATTATGTTTAAAATTATCATAACTTTTTTTTAGTGTGTAAGACACTTTTACCCTTTTTACATTAAATGATATTAATTTTACGTTTTTTCATATTTGTTTACATTATCAATTTATATTTAAATTAATAGCTATTTTCTTTATATATATATACAAAACAATAATTAATTAAAATTTTACATTATAATAATTATTTATGTTATAATAATATATTTTTACGTTTGTTCTTACATTTTAATATGTTTAAAATTTTCATAATTTTTTTTTTTTTAGTGTATAATGATACTTATTATTCATTTTGCACAAAATTATACAAATGTTAAGTTTCCTCTCACCTATTTACATTGCTTGTATTTTTTATTTACTAGATTTTTTTATATATTTATAAGAATAATAATTAATTAAAACTTTATGTTGCTAACTTAATTATTTACATTTTAATAATTTATTTTTATGGTTGTTCTTATATTTCATTATGTTTAGAATTATCATAATTTTTTATTATATTTTATAATCCTTCTAACATCTTTTACATTAAATGATACAAATTTTATGATTTCTCTCACCTACTTAAGTTAATAATTTTTTTATTAGTTTTTAAATTTTTAAATAGCATTGCTTTTATGTTAGTTTTATCCTTGAAAGTTTTTTTAATTAATTTTCTTATATATTTATAAAAAATAATTAATTTAAAATTTTACGTTATTAACTTAATTATTTATATTAAAGTAATTTTTCTAACTTTTTTTTTACATTTAATTATATTTAAGATTTTCATAACTCGTTTTTTAACATGTTACATATTTCAATCTCATTTTACATAAACTAATATAAATTTTGTTATTTTCTTTCATTTGATTATGTTAATAATTTTTTATTTTTTTTTTCAAATATAAATTGTTTTAAGTTAATTTTTCTTAAAAAGAATTTTTATATTAATAATTTTTTAATTTCTATTGAATTATTTTTTTATTTTATAATACTTTTTAGCTATTTTAGAAGATACCAATTACATTAAAAGAATTTTTAAATAAAATATTTTTAATTATTTTTTTTATTTTAAAGTAGTTTTATAAACATATAATAAAGTAAAAAATAAAAATTATTATGTAAAGTGAAAATTATTTAAATTTTATATAAGATTTTATAAACTTTGTTTTTACAATCTCAATAAACAAATTCTATTTTTCTTTAATTTAAAATTGAGTTAATGATTGATTATTTAATTATATACATGTAATGATTATTATTTGCTAACCCAAGATTAAAAAACTCTAACTTATTATAGAAACCGCTGACTAGGGGATTATGTTCCTTTAAATGAAAATCACTTTCGATTGAGGCTTGAAAACCAAAAAAAAAAAGAAATTCTCTGCTGATTTACCTGAGAAAAGCCCGAAAAAGTTTCCTTTATACCAAACACGGGAGAAAAGTAACGGTAACGAAAGATGAACATGGCAATGAAAGGTTTTTTTTGCAACCCAAATGCAAGTAAAAATGAAACCTATCATCATCTTCTTCTTCTTCGTCAGAATTTACAGCCCTTTTCCTTTTCTTCTTTTTTCTCTTATACGACAAATAACAACGACGACAAAAAGAAAAAGCCGCCTCTTCGAATCCGAGCAGCAACAGCTGAAGAGGGCAGTTCGACTTCCAATGTCACAAGCACAGGCGATGTTAAAGGATCGGGGACGACAGCGAGAGGGAGGAGACTTCTTAAGATGCGTGAAGAAAAGAGGAAGCGAGAACTCGACAGGCTTCACAATTATCCTGCCTGGGCCAAGTACTTTCATGTTTCTTAAATTGTTTTTTTTTTTTTTTATATTTACCCTGCATTCTACTTGTTTGATTTATTGCCTCTGTGAAATTTTTTTCTCTTTGGCATTCAAAACAGAGTCCTAGAAAACGCCTGCAAAGACGACGAAGAACTACGAGCAGTTCTTGGCGATAGCATTGGCGACCCTGAGCTTATGAGGAAACGGGTCCGTCAGTACCCTTTTCTTTTCTTTCCTCAACCTAATCAACTATACCTCTGTTATTTCAATGAATTTTCTAACTATGTTTTGCAGGTTGAAGAGCGTGTTCGGAAAAAGGGTAGAGAATTTCACAAGCAAAAGACGGGCTCTGTGCTTTCTTTTAAAGTCAGCTTCCGAGAGTAAGGCCTCAATTCCCGCAATCAACTATATAATTAGTTATCCTTGCTAGTAAGTACTTTCAGTGTTGAGACTTGAGAGTAACTCTGTTATCTTTCCATACCGATAATCTGGGTGTGATCAAATTATCTTGGTTAAAATATAGTTAGAAATGAACCTCGTAGAGCAATGAATGGTATTGTTAAGCACAGATTGAGCCTTGCTGTAAGATTATGCTAAGGCTCCATTTGATTGGTGTTTTGCATTTTGCTATTTGTCCCCTTGTTTTCAGTTTTTTTTTTTTTTTTTTTTTGCTTTTCATTTTTTATTGAAAAAGGCAAAAAAAAAAAAAAAAAGGTTGAAAGCATCAACCAAACTGAATTCTAATTTAGGCCTTAGTCTTTCTTGTTTCTAGGAAGTAGCTGATGTTTCTCTACCCTTCCAAGTTGTATAGTAATTTTTATTTTTTTGATGGATGTACAGTTTTAACCCACTTGATTCCTATATATGGTTTGAGTTATATGGACCACCTTCTGATCGAGAAGTCAATCTAATTGGTAGTGTAAGTAGTTTCATTCTCCTTCTACTTCCTTCTTTTGGCAACTTGTCGCTAAATTTAGACTATTGTAGAGAGAATCATTCTCTTATTTGCTCTTAATATGTGAACGGTTTATTACTTACAAACTAATTATATTCATTTAATTGGAGATATGTGCAGGTTATTCAGTCATGGTATCTTATGGGACGCTTGGGTGCCTTTAATTCCTCTAATTTGCAGGTTTGACCATAGTTCTTTTTGCTCCAATTTCTTTTCCTTCAGCTGTCCTTGCTATGCAAGAGAAAATAAGCATGTTAATTCATATTGATGACAGTTGGCAAATTCTTCAATGGAGTATGATCCCCTCTATGACGCGGATAAGGGTTTTAAAGTGATGCCATCATCATTCCATGATATCAGTGATGTTGAGTTTCAGGATAACTGGGGCCGTGTTTGGTCTGTATGATTTCATAGATTCATCTGCAATTTTCTTTTCAGTATCATATAGTCTATTTTCTTACTGCTCTTTCTCTTGGAATAATGACTAATTTACATGTTCACTCGCAGGGTAGACCTCGGTACTTCTGATTTTTTTGCCATTGATATCTTACTCAACTGCATGACAGTATTGAGTGCAGAGTAAGTTTAAGTTATATTAATACGTAAAATGAAAAATAGAAACAATTATGTGATCAAATTTCATGCTTAATATATTTATTTGTTCAGTTGTGCTGCTCGTCTTAACTTTGGTTTTTCATTTTCTTATGCTCTCTATCTCTCTCGCCTACCTTTTTTTGTTTTTATGCCAGTTACTTGGGCATTCAACAGATTGTTTTCGGTGGTCGCTGCATCGGTGATTGGGAAGAGGGTATGACAAACCCCAACTATGGCTATAAGTACTTCAAAATCTGAACCAAATGTCGATCCAGATACTATAGAAAATCTAGAAGGCTACATGTGTATTTGGATGCTTATACACTGATAGACTCTAAAGATGGCCATCGATGGGCATCCTTTCTGTTACTGATCTGATTTTGAAAGGTAGATGCGAATCAAGAATCCTACTTTTTGTTCGTTCATTTTTAATCTTTAAAGGTGGTTCCATAGCAAATTGTAATGCTAGAAAAAGGCTAAAATGTAAATGCAAATATGGATCCCAAGTCCACCTTTTATCTATTCTTAATCTCTGAACCAACCTCGCCTAACTGGGTGGGTTCAATCTTGGTTTAAGAAAAAGTCCAACTCCAAGGTTTATATCTGACGCTCTACATATTTGATTGCCAAGAATAGAAAATTTTAATCCTATCAGCTTGCATTCAGTGATTTGATAGAAATTTTCCATGCAACTGCCCTGTGACCAAATGAAACATTCAATCTTTTTACTCAACAGGCTCAGGATCTAGCATATGCTGCAATTCATTAAATTGGCAAATGGCAATAAAAATCTGCCACAGTGATCAGATGCAAGCAAAAAAAAAACAAAACAAAACAAAACAAAAGTTAAAAAGAGTCCCTAGAAAGTAATCACAAAAAGTGTACCTGTTTGCTGTGAAATCTGCGCTCCTAATATCAGAGACTGGCAAAATAAACCTATACTGATTTAATTCATCTGTGATTTATAGGACCTTCAGTGAACTATGACTAGGGCTAACATTAATAATTTTCGAACTGACAGGACAAGAAGAAATTGAAGTTGTTTCAACCAGTAACATGCAGCGGTTCTTTGACAGATAATGCTGTCCTGATCTGATGTTTCAGGGTTGATCCAAAGTGTTCCAAACATTTTGTAAGTTACCACTGCAAAGCGAGGGAGCGAAATTTCTTCCTTCTGCTTGATCTTCTGTCTTCTCCCGAACAACTTTTGCCTTCAACTTTCTTCTTCTCTAACTTGATATTTTTGGAACCTGACCAATACCCAATCCAAAAATCTCATGTCAGAGTTCTGAGAACACTGAAGATTGTCTCTTCCCCTTTTTTTCATTTAACGAGATTGAATTAACAAAGATATAATATATATATATATATATGCACACACACACACACATGCTTAAATATCTTATTAATTCCTTTTTCAGTTTGAGTTTTAATTACTAAAACTTTTAAAATTTGCTCGAAACGAATAATAATTGGAATCCTTCTGTACATATAATTGTCTAAGTAGATCATAATGAATATATACTTTTATTGTTTCGTAATAACCATCAAATTATTATGCATATATCATAGTAAAAGATAAGAAATCCTAATGGCAAAAGATCTAATTGAAACCCCAAAATGTGAGGATGTCAATATCTAATGACTTAGATCTACTATAGAACTAAAAACAATAAGCGAAGCAAGATCCAATATATATATATATGTTGTACAAAGGAAGTCATAGCTTGAGGATAGGGAAAGGATTGCAAATACTAAGATTTAAAACTCAGCCTACTAGATGCCACTTCTTAATGATGGTTGCATGATCTAACTAAGTTAAACTTATACATATCAACTTTCTTATTGATGAGTTGATATTATTCGATTTATTGATCACATATAAAATCTATACACTGATATAGTATCAAATATAAACTTTATATATGTATATGTATCATTTATTCTTTCCTTTGTGCCAAAAACTTATAAAAAGAGTGAACGATGATCCCATAACAATTATAGAAGGAATAAAACTGATATATAAAACTCAGAATCACAATTAGAATAGCGTAGCTGCAAATTGCTGATTATACCATTTGCTTTGATTATTAAAATCGAGATGACAAGTGGTTTTGAAGAGAGTACCTTGGGATAAAGGTGACAATGGATGGTAAGTACGGAAACAAGCAGATAGTTCTTTCACATTCCTTGCCACTGGAACTTGATAGACAGGATACCTAATAAAACATGAAAAGCCATTTTTAATTTGAACTCCCTATATTTATACATTGATTGGTAAGAATCCCTAAGCCTCAAGGATATAAAAAGAAATGATGACAAATAAAGCATACCAAGCTATTGCCATCCAACTATAAGGTGAAAAATTCGAGCTGCAGAGATCTACTAAACCCAGATAATGTTTGGCCAACTCATTGATCTGTTCAAAACAGCTCACAGTAAACTGACATAGATAACTGGTTCTCTGAACTTTTCATGCTCTTTCAGAAAAACATGAGATCATAAAAAATTATTATGAATAAAATGAAAAGCAATCAACTATATTCATGTGGAAATCGATTGCAGACGTGCAAGCTCTCAATTGAATCACGTAAAACTCACCTTTTCTTTGAGTGGAACTAAATCATAAGGACTTGCCGTCTCGTTGTATTGGTAGTACAGGTAGCCACATTGATCTGTTGTTTGAGTACACGATGAACCAAACTGAGAAGTGGTAGAATCGTCCCAAGTCGCATTGGAACCCAAACATGAGCTATTGCTTGAAGACTTGTTAATTTTGTCTCCCCCTATCATCATTATAAAAAGAGTCGTTTTCAGGCTTTGCCCTGTTTCCCAAGTAACATAACACCCAAATTCAACAAGGGGAAAAAAAGATGGAGCGACTAGAATACCAAATTTTCTCATCAATTTGATCCGACAGCGAGCTGGATGAGGAAAAGGGTTTCCAAGTGTATAATTGCAAAGCAGATAGGGGAGGGGAATAGTACTGAACAATGCGGTCGCCATTGTTCAACACAATTGAGACACCAGCACCATAGGCATTCCACTCAGTAAAAGAGTGCCAAATGTCACTCAGAGTAAAGCCTTCAAATCTATCCTTCTCAGGTGTTTGCAAGAAGCCATTGGAAGTTTCAAAACTTCTCTGCAAAGTATTAGAAAAAGAAAAAAAAAAAAAAAAGTAAACAGATTAAAAGATTACGCCCACTTTTATTAGAATTATATCTGCAAAGAATATTACCGTAAACAAAAGAAATATCTCAAGGGAGAGTTTCTCATTACTTTTGAACTAAAACCCTCAGGTATTGTTAATACTTTTAATTTTAGTGATAAATTTTAAATATTAATAGCAATAATAATAAAAAAAAGCCTCTTCAATGTATTACTATTCAAATATTGATAACAATAAAAAGAAAGCCTCTTCAATATATATTATGATGTAAAGATTTAGGGCAGTATTATTCTTATCAATCATGTTAAGAAGATTGTTATTTAAATATAAAATGTGACACAATTACATCTCTCATAATATAATGTATAAAATTAACATTTCTATACCTATCTTATCTAACTCTAACATTTATAAACCGCCCAATTATAATCTTAATTTTTTTATTTTTTTATAATATTATGTAATTATTTTTTATACAACTTCTCACCTAATTAATAAATTTTATTCACACTCAAAATCGACAAATGAAGATTTAATTGTTCAATAAAAAAGATATAATGTTCAGTAAAACTCAACACATACTTTCTGATTCCATTTTTATCTTATTATCCATATCTCTCCAATGTTTTTTTTATAATTATTATAATGCATTTTTAACTTAGCTAAGAAAGAAAATTTTTTTTAAAAAAAATTACAATATTCTTTAACCTTTAGTGCTTGTGAAAATTTTCTAAAATGAATAGCTAATCAAAATAACATTTTGACATAAAAAATGTAGTTAAAAAATTAACAAAAATCATAATTTTTGCTTTTGATACATATTTTTTGAATAAATAAAAAGATCACATTTTTTATATAAAAATATGATATTTGTAAAGCCAAAGTTAGCTCCCACCTATTTGTATTGTTAGTTCCCACTTTGAACTTGTCACACCTCACTTTAAACGTGATATTATTTTCATAAGCTTTGAGATGATGTAAGGTTTAAAATAAACAAAAAAAATAAAAGAATTAAATATCAAAATAAAGAAAAAAAAAAAAAGATCAAGCAACAATGTCATGAAAGAAAATCTTAAATTTTTTGGAATTTTGATCCATTTTTATTATATTATAATTTAATATTAAATTTGACATATTATTTTTCATTTTATTAAATTTTATTGTTATATATTTATTTTTTTTTGAAAAAATAATAGATTTTAAGTATTTAAGTAAAGTAAATTATACATTTATGTAAATTTAAGTTTTTTAAAAAATCATTAAATCTTGGTTTTCCTTTTTTTTTTTTTTTTTTTTTGCTTTTTGGTTTTTACTTTGCAAAAATAAATGATAAAAAAATTAAAGATAGTTGATCTTAACCAAAGTAGTTATTGATAAAAAGTAATTTTTTATTTTTATAAACATTATTTTTTTCACATGAAATGTAATTAATCATTACAAAAATAAAAAATAAAAATAATATTTTTTTAATATCAACGATATTTTTTAATAAAAAAATATTGTGATAGATAAAATATTTATAATAAAATATTTTTTAAAAAAATTAACTATATTTTTAATGTAAAAAATATAATGTTTAATACGAATAACTATATTTTTTACATTAAAAATATATTAAATGTGCCTACAATACCTTTTCTCTAATCAATATGTCATTTATTATCACTTTTTTTTTATCAAGAAAGTGAAATTATGTGTCAATAAATACTTTTCTTTATGTAAAAAACATTGTTTGTGTCTGCAACACTCTCTCTTTAACAAATGTGTCATTCATTATCTCTCTCTATTTGAAAAGTGAAATTTTGTGTCAATAATTATATTTCTTACATAAAAAATTTAGCGTTTTTCCAAAGTGAGTGGTCACATTTATGGGGAGGGAAATCTGAGCTTAGGTAGGTTGGTTGCCTCATGAAAATTTGTGGTAAAGGTTAGGTGGAATCTTGGGTGGAATCTGATTTTTGTGTGGTTTGATTTGAGTAGGTTTGAGGGAGTGGTTTTTTTTTTTAGGATAGATGACATAATAGTTAAACTTTCCTGAGGGTTCACCCAAGGAGATCAATTTCAGGGTCTTCATTCTCATATCTTTCTTTGAGCTTTTGTTGCAAATATTTTTTCTTTTTTTTGCTTCTTTGGAACATCATCGTCCAGGAATCTTTTATATGCGTTTATCTGACATTCTTTGCATTGACAATTTATGTCCTAATAACAATGTCCTTGTGGAGATTTATATGCATACACGAGATTTTCATTGGACTGAAAATGTGTGACTGAAACATCAAGGAGATCAGCTTGATATCTTTGCATCAGAGGCTTGTAATTAATCACTAATATTAATTTTTCATGAACTTATTCTGAATGTTTGTTGACATAAAACGCTTCACATGCCCATGGAAAAGAGGTTGGTTCAATTAATCTTTGAGCCTGGAGAAGTGAACATTCTTGGATTGCCTGCTTGAAATGATCTGGGTTCATACCTGAATGATTAACTTTTATGGGATTGGCATTTTCATCTCTTTTAAAGGGAAGGGAAATAAAAAATTCCCTTGAAGATATTTTTTCTTCTACCTTTGAGACTGAATCCCATGTAGACACTG